TTGAAAATTCACCTCATAGGTCAACAATTTACTTGTCAAACGTTCAAAATAAGAATAACTTCAAACTCTTTGTTCCTAGAAGATGCAACCCTTCTAAAAACGTGCATAGTTGGTCATTTCTTAACTTATTCTACTTATAATCCTTAATTCTTCCGTTATGATGGTAGTCATGATGTTTTAGTGCGTTTTGTACGATGACCTCATTATACTGGCGCGTGAATCGCACCACACCCTGGTTTATCCGATGGTTGCTCAGGATCGGTTCCGTTGAAATTCAGAATTTGGTTAATCAGTTAAATTCAAATGTAGTCTAGCTTAACTGTCTACTTGTTTATCGCGGAACTCCTAGAGTCTTCTTCACTATCTCAGGACATGGATCGGTCCGAAACAGAAATTAATTTCCGCGTACGTTAGCAACTCATCTCCTTCCTGACCTTCTGTATTTTATAATTTGCAGAGGTGGAGGAAGGGCACGAGGTCAAGGGGTGTGGCCCAACACTCTTCCTTCCTATTAATTTGCGGATCTTAACTGCAATCTAACATCCTTGAATGTTTTCCTCGCAATGGTGCTTCAAAATATATTATTCAATTGTAATACAACCAATAAATATTTGCAAATGAAGCTGTTGATGTAGAAACTGTGTAATGATGCTTACTTTCAGAATTACTGGCATCTTCAATGCTCTATCCATTTTCCGACGAGTTGGCGGTGACTGCGGGTGGACGTCTCACATGCGCATTCGATGATCCAAACGAGTATTGCAGTTGGCACAATGCTATGACTGCGGACGCGAAGTAATTTCCTTCTTCAGCTGGTATTATTTTCCTCGAAAAAAAATTCTTTTGCTTAACAATGGCGAAAGATTACTTGATAACTGTACTAAAAATTACCTCTATGTCATACACAGCGTTCAATAATGATACAGCCCCGGTGGATTTCAGCAATTTCACCTTCCGGTCCTTTTCAGAAAAAATCCCAGTATGGGAAGTGTGCCTGTTCGGACCGTAACTTGTAGAACAGCTAGTTTCAACTCAAACCATGGACAATATTTCCTCTCATTTTTTTTCAGAAAAAAACTTTTTTCCTATGTTTCAAGATGATGCAGCTACTCTCCAAAACAATTTAGTCAGCAGCTAAACGATAGTAAGGAGAGGAAGTTGCGTGGTTAAGAATCGATTGGGCCCCAACATCTTCGCAGTACCTTGAAAATGCGATTGTTTAAGGCTTCATGAGTTTTTAGCCGATTTGGTGCAAAGCATCGACGATTGTTTCCTTCAGCCCACTGATGCCTTTAAATTGCTCGCTTCCTTTATAAATCTCCTTCGAATGCGTTTTCTATTAGATTCAAGTTAGGGCTGTCAGCCGACCAGGGCACATGGTCGGTTTGGTAAAAAAAATCAGGTCTGGGTGCTCCGGCTGGGGTGAAGCAGGCCATTATCCCGCATGAATACGAGGTTCTGCTTTCGTTCTGTCGTCAGAAAGGAAGATTAGCGTGATGCGTTACACATCATATCCATCCTTTACAGGTAAACTTTTTTCATCGGAAAAAACATCTGGGAGATAGAAACTTCAAGAGAAAGAAAAGTGAACGACAAGATATGGAAGGCACCTAACTCCAATAGGTACGGATGCTTTTCCTTGTAAAAGCGACCCGGTCATACTTTTCGGTCATAAAACATGCCTTCCTCATTTTCTACCGAATGATAAACACAGACCTGTTTATTGGGTTGATGCATAATTATTGCGGATCTTTTCGCGGCTTCCTTTGTTTTGGTGAAACTACTCTTTTGAATTTAAGCTTTTTATGGAAATAACCCTCTCACTTTCCTTAACAAAAACATTTCTAGAAAGTCACCTTCATATACTCCACACTATGCTCTATTACTTCAAAAAATGTTGGAAGGCGGCACGCTCATAACGTGATCTCAACGAATTTCTCGGTGATGGAACAGTCAGCCAAAGCCGAATAAAGAAAGGAATTTGCTTCTACATTCACCCTATTCACCGAAATAAACTCCTATGGATTATCACGTTGATCGCGCGTTGAAAAACTGATTAACGAACAGAACTTCCGACGAAGTGGATGGCTTGATGGCCAACCTCAAGGCGTGATTGCCTCCAAGAATCGAAAATTCTTCGCCTGTGGAATCCGACCGCCTAGCAAATAAGAAGCAGTGCTTGAAGCAGATGGTGGATATGTTCCGAAGCAATTATTTAGACATGTCTTTGCTAGATATTTCCATCGTTTCTTCAAGTATAATTGCTGAAAGAAACCCGCGATAATTATTCATCAACCTAATATTACATTTCAAACAGTAATTCTCGAGACAATGAGCTTCGAAGAAGGTTCGATTTCCATACATGACTTAATCGTGCTCGACGCTTCTCTCAGGATCCGTCCTCTGCCTCCTTATGAAATTAAAAAGGAACGTCCGGTACTTCTTTCGGTCCCATACTCTGCAGGATTCCTGCTGACAACCGCCTGGCATCAGCTCAAATCTCGAACGATTCTACGATATGACAGTCCGTATTGATTCTTTTAAACAGAATTTGACCTTTCTCGAAACCGGAGGGTAACTTTCCTCTATCTATTGCCTGAAATTGGAAAACATTATACAAATGAAGCAATTGTGTAAGGTGAAAATGGAACGCGCCGAGGAAATATGAAGTGGCTGTATCATCTAAAACATAGGCCAGAGGCCTATTTTGAAAAAATGAAGGGGAGAATTGTCCATACTCTTGAGATCGGACGTGCTGTTCATGAAGTGGTCTACAAGTTATGACCCGAATTGGGCAAATTTCCCGAATTTATCCTTTTTCTGAAGTGCCCTGGAACGTGAGTTTTAGTGGAATTTCTAGATAGCCGTATCATTGTTTAACACAGTGTATATCTGATGCGGCACGTGAAAAGTAAAAGAGTTCACGAGTTGTGCTAAGTTGAAGAAGGTAAGACTAAAAAGTCTGCTTTACTAGAAGGCTTAAGTCTGACCATTCAGCAGGAAACCATCATAGGAATCCATAGCCAGCTACCCAATCCATATGTAGGTTTTGACTGTTTGTTCGATTAACCCTATTCACATGAAACTTTCACTCTGACACGATTAACCCTATTCACATGAAACTTTCACTCTGACACCTTATTCATAAGTTTTGCCAGTGGTCGCTGCGCTGGCCATTAATCCTTCTCGTATTAAGTCGAGCTTTCTAGAGCAAGTGAAATCTGTTGAGCTTTAGATGTACATATATGAGTGAATTATGAGATGAGTTTGTAATTGACAAACACAAAATTCATTGTGGTCTGTTAGTACAGAGTATGAGTGAAGAGAGAATAAAATTGAAGAATACAGAAGCCATAAAAATAGTGCGTCAATGCGTTGAGTTGGTATTTGTGAAAAGCGTGCGGCTGATCCGTGGCGTGATTAGTTTGGTATGAACTTCAGGCGAATATCACCTGTATCACCTGTCGTCCCGTTGATCATCGACTTCCTCGAGCGGGTGCCAATAACGAATCCATTCGTTCCTGTAACGAGCCGGAGTACTCCGGTAAATTGTACTCGCTCGAGAAGCACGGGACAAAACACGGCTTTTGTGCAAAGCTTAAAGAAAAAGAAGTCTGACCATCGCCCCGGAGGACGTACTGGTGTTTGACGTCTCGAGGAATCCAGTCCGTAACCGACTTGATTCAATGGTCATCACTCTAACGCATTACGTGTCCGGCGCACCTGATTTTCGATTTCATGGCGTAACAACGGCTTCCTGTTCTTCATTCGTCGGCGGAGCTCGGAACTGCGGATTTCCTTCTGTACTTGCGTGTATAAGAAATTCTAAGCATCGTCCTTCCCTTAGCAGGTTGAATGACGCTAACTGCATGCTCAACTGGCTTTCGTAGAGTCCAACTCTCCGAGGCTTATGTCGAAGCAGGAAGGGTCGTAGTGTCGAAAAGGTGAGGGCAGAGCGGGAGCCTTTGTCGTCTTCAACACTCCCCCGATGTACTTGAGTGCTCCCCACACCGCGCGTCTCCTTCTGCTCAACTTCGGTGCTGGGTCGTTCATCATATTGACTTATATTGGCCTTGGTACATTCAGAGATGTTCGCTCCGTCAAGCGTAAAAGCAGCATTGAGTACCAATCAGCTAGCATAAACATCGTCTTAATTAGGTTCATTCGTGATCTGATCTTTCCACAAACGATTTCGAACTCGGCCAGCATTTGTTCCGCTTGTTCGGTGTCATAGGCACGATGGCATCTGCATAGCGGAGATAGTGTAGCGTCCATCGACCTTCATTCCTATGCCTTCCCACTCCCTATGACGCATGATATTCTCGAGAGCGGCAGTGAAAATTTGGGCGAAATGGTACCGCCCTGTCGAACCCCTCTGTTCAATTGATGATGACTTCTCTATGAAATAGCGGGATCCTGGTTGTGGAGTTGTTGTGGACTCACGAAGCATCCTATTATATTGTGTAGAAACACCGTGGTTACTCAGGGCTTCGATTACCGCTTCTGTCACCACGGTATCAAAACTTTCCTCAAATCGATGAACTTAGGGCATGACGGTATTTTGAACATTCGCGATAATTCAATGTGTTTCGCGATGGTATGTATGTGATCGATAGTAGTGAACATCCTCGGAAACCATGCTTGCCCGCAAGGCTGTCCTTCATCCGATGTTCTGCCAATCCTGTTGAGTATGATGCGTGTGAATAGTCTGTAGATTACAGACAGCAGGTAGATTGGGCGATATTGCCAATATCGTCTGGATCTACCTCCGAATACAGCAACACAGCTTGCTAGTTTTCCATGAGTCAGGCCCTTTGCTTTCCGACAAGTACCGCGCGAGAAGCCGGGTTTTGACAAGGACTGAGGGAAGGCTCTCAAGATGTTCTGCTTTGATCCTGTGAAAACCGGACGCCGTATCATTCTTTATTAACGTGGTGTCTTGTCGAGTCTCCGAATGAAGACTCGAAGGGACGACAAATCCGTCCTGCCTATGATGACAAGTAGGCAGGTAGACTCTGGTGTCGAGGAGATCAGAGAAGTCGTAGGTGACCTCCTCCGAGATGCAGTAACTATTCCATGTGGGCGCCAAAGGGATGTCGTCTTGGACTTATAATTGAGGGAGCCCGGCGGGTTTTGCTAATGTTCTTCAAGCCGCGGCTTCAAGTTTCGACCAGCACTGCTGCTATTTTCTCTGCATATCTTCTTTTTTCGCTTCTCTAAATGGCTCCACAAGTTCGAATATTAGTTTGTGGTTGTCTGCAACAACTGTGCCTGCCTCTACGGAATTCCACGCTAGATTACAGCTCGAGAATTTTCGAGGAAAGACGTTTCTTGGCATCATTGAGGTTCTCTGATTCACTGGCACCATCGCAAAGATAATCGACAAGGCGGTTGTATTATTCATCGAGGTCGTTAACGAAATCTTCCTCCAATTCGTAAATGAAGCGAAGTGAGTCCAAGTGACAACAGACTTGAGACTTCGTTTTTGTCTTTGCAGCTCTCTCGACGCACTGAAAAGTAGAATCTAGGCGGGGGAGAGACTATGGTCCGATCCCATGTAGAACTTCAGAACAACAGCGACGTCAACCAGGCGAAATCTCCTGTTGAAGATGATGTGGTATGTTTCATTATAGAACCGCCCACCAGGTGACTCACATGTCCATAGTGAGAGGGCTTCTGGAACTGCGAGTTATCGTGGACCAGTCGGGCCGCCCGGCTAACGCCGGGCTTCCCTCCTTCTTATGGGTTCGCCCGGCTACGCCGGGCGCTCCTTCTTCCTGTGAGAAATTTGCTACGCGTAAGTAACACTTCGGATTCTCCTTTTGCTTTGAAAGCTCTACACCCTCAGTATTGGCTCCGAAGTGATAGCGATTTTTTCTGTAAGCCAACCTCGCTGTGTCCGAAAGAACATCGTTTAATATCACGAAGGCGATTCAGAGAAGAAAGTATGCAGAGACTTCATCGCGGCTGAGGCTACTATGTTAGCTATCATCAATGTTCCTCAACGCCATCATCGAGGGCTCTCCTCATTCTTGGGGCAAAGGGACTTTGCCCGAAAAATATCGAATTTATGATAATTTATGATAATTAATTTATGAAATTCCCCCTTTTTAATATGTTATTTCGCTTTTTCGCTGAGCGAGAGTATAGACTATCAAATGCCCTCAAAGATGTACCTCCTTTTCTCTACGGATACATCATTGAATGTGAATCCAACATTATTACCGGTCGGATAGATTTTACTAAGAATGATATCAAAGCAAAGAGAAACCGTGATCTTTTAATTAATCGCAAACTCTGCTGGGTAGCGGTCGTAACCCAATAGCAAGAAGTGACCCAAATTCATCTCCTTATAATCACACAACTTAACCTTCTTGTCGAATGAACAATATCAAAAAGTCAAAGCTAGATCGTAAATAACAAAGCCGCTGAGAGGTAATTGGTGTGTGGATCTTCTTCTCTGAG